GAATGCCAGATCTTGTTTTCCTTCTTTTTCGTCTGCTTCCTGGCAGGACCGCAGCTCCGTGGAGTGGAAACACGTGCCAGATCCTCACTGCGGATCGTACTGGTTGGATCTCAGATGGGTTTGCTGTTGGGGAAAAACACGTGGTGCTGGATGTGGCAGCCCGAGAGAGGCTGCTGCAGCTCCGTGCCCTCGGTGCCAGCCGGGAGCTGGGCTGAGCTTGCATTCCCCGTAGGCATGAACACACAAACACACGTATGTGCCACGTATGTATGTGACCAGCAGAAAACCCAACCAGCCACACAGAGCGAAGCGTGGAAGGAGTTTACTGAGCAGATGGGCAGGGTGTGCTGAGGAGGTGCAGGGCACGGCCAGACAAACCATCACAAACCATTTACACGCAACCAACCCTTTTTATTCCCATATCCCTCTGTTCTCCCACGCTTGTCCCTCCACAAATCACCTAGATCCCTCCCTTTCCCACCTTTCATTCCTCCCCTAAGCATCCCTTAATGAGTCCTGTGCGATCCCCAAACGCTCTTCTCCTGCATCCATCCCATTGTGGGTCCCACACCCCTGTATGCAGTGACCCCCCCAGTCCTAACGATGCTCTGGGGCTGAGGTTTCCCTGGAACAGCCCTGGGAAGGGTTTGGATAGGGCGTCCCTTCCTCCGAGTCCTTAATTTGGGTTCCCGCCTGCCATCGTGCCCCTGTGCTCCTGGGGGGGTGCGGAGATGGGCCTCCAGTGGGTTGCCGGGCCTGGAGGCAGCCTGGCAGGGTGCTGTTTGGGCTCCCCATCCTGCTGTTCTCTCCCTGTGCTCCTTTGGAGGGGGTGTGCAGGTGAGTTTTTGTCACACAGCCTCCTTAATGATCAGTATAGGTAGATTTGGGATTTATATTTTTGTGTGTGTATGTATATACATACACCCTAAATATATATATTTTTTTTAATATATGCCCTAAACAAAAAGTCTCTCCTTTAAATATCTGGGTTTCCTCGTATAATTTGTCTCGTCTTTTGTGAGTTCTTTGGTCACCTAGAAACAATTTACAACTGGAGCCACATGTTCCAGTTGTAAAACCGTACGAAGAATGCGCGTAGAGGCACATACTACTTCTTCCAGTCCGTTCTTCGGCATAAAGGGGCGAGGGATGGGAAGAAAATCATGTCATGGCTTTTCTTCCAGCACTGATTCGCTGATGGGCTCCTTAAAACCTTAGAAAGCAAAGGCAAGAAGAGCTGTATGCTTTATGTGTGGAGGTTGGGTTTTTTTTTTTAGGAGATATAGTGGAAAACCACATTATATATAGGTTAATGACCGGAGAGTGAATTCAGACTGGGGGAGTGTAGCACGTGGGAAGGGGTCAGCGCTGGAGAGTCAGGCAGGATGAGGCAGGGGACACGGGTGCTGCCCTGAGCACCCAGGGGTGCTGTGCAGGAAAGGTGATGGCTGGCACACATGCCGTGAGAGCGCGAGACTCGTGTCTGACAGTCGTGGGTCCAGCTCAGCTCAGACTGGTTTATCCAACGCTGGTGTTGCCCAGGGGCTGCGAAGGAGCAAAGTGCACAGGAGGGAAAGGGAGCAGAGCCTTGGACTTTGCTACTGACTGCAAAACACTGGTGGCCGTCAGCTCCAAGCAGCGTTCCGGGGTGGTAAACACCTGGCCCTGCCTGGCAGACAACAGGAGCACAGCCACCCAAGGAATGCTGGCACTGGGCAGGCACCAGTGGCATCTGCTGGGCACGGGCAGCCCCAGTGTTCCCCAGCTCCCCGGCCCGGAGGAGAGGGCTGGAGCAGCTTTGCCTGCAGCAGGTCAGGACACGGTGCCACAAAAGCTGCTTCCCGGCACCCAGGAGATCCCGTCGTGGGAGGTTTCACGCAGAGCCCAAGCCTAATTAGTAGTAGTGACAGGACATGGGGCAATGGCTTTAAACTGGAAGAGGGGAGATTTAGATTGGATCTAAGGAAGAAATATTTCACTCAGAGGGTGGTGAGGCACTGGAACAGGTTGCCCAGAGAAGTTGTGGCTGCCCCATCCCTAGAAGTGTTCCAGGCCAGGTTGGATGAGGCTTTGGGCAACCTGGTGTAGTGGAGGGTGTCCCTGCCCATGGCAGGGGGGTTGGAACTGGATGGTCTTCGAGGTCCCTTCCAACCCAAACCATTCTGTGATTCTATGAGTCTATAATTCTGCTCAACATGTTAATTAAACATTTACCAGAGGGAATGTCTTTCCTCGGAGATATTTACCACCGGAATGGCCACCGCCCTGCACCGCCTGGCCTGACTTTGGAGCTGGCCCCGTTTTGAGGAGCGGACACAACGACCTCCAGTGGTCCCTTCCCACCAAAACCATCCTTCAGTCCACTAATAATTGCAGATGTCACCCAGCTGCGAAGGGCTGGGAGCGTTTGGGAAGCAAGAGTAAGATCACAAAATCCTTCCGATGGAGAAAACGCTCGGAGATTTCGTGGATTTAACGCCCAAAACGACAAGCGATCGCAGCGGGAGCAGGGAACGAAGGTGAGCGGTCAGCCGGCAGGATGACGGCAAAAAGGAACCGCGGGGAGCTGGGATGGCTGCGTTGGCTGCGGGATGCCCGCACAGCGCCGAGCCGTCACTCAGCGCGGT